ACGTGTGTGTTCCCATTCCTAGTGACCCTGTGATAGGGTTTCTGAGGCTGTAAACTTCATGGGAACAGAAAGCCTCATCTTTCTCATAAAGTGGCTGGTGGATTCAAACTGATGACCTGTGGTATGACCAGTGCGTATGAGATTGCATTACATACCTAAAATCCAAAACGCTGCCGATACCAAATGCTGGTGAGGATGTGGAGCATGAGGAACCATCACTGGAGGTTAGATTAAGAAGTCTTCCTTTAGCTCCGATGTCTTTACCATTTTCCTTCCCTTGTTAATGTCCTTTATAAAGAGTTTCTGGGACTTCAGTCTCCAGGCCACAAGTAAGCTGTAATATCTTTCAAGAATTAAATACCGTGATTTTTTAAAGTATACATCTATATTTTATGGTAATCTGATTTATGATATGCATTACTGGTTTTGTATTTTTTTCTTATAAATTGAAAACCTTTTTTTTTATACTTTAAAAAATGCATTCATGTCAAGAAAATATGAAATGTCATATAGCTTGTACACAAATATGACAAGAATTATGAATATGTATTCAAATGACTGAAGCTTTGAAATTGTAAACTAGGGAAATCTCTTTATTGAAAGAGCCCTTAAAGTGCAACCTTTGTGAAGCAACCATTTCTTTGGTGTTTCTAATTCATCTATTTGATGAGTATCGGTTCATGAGTAATTTCTGAAAAGCAGGCAGTTGGCCATTGCTTGGTATTTCTACAATACTTGTTTTTCAAAGTCCTTTTCTAGCCAATAATTTAAGGAGCTCTGGTAGCATAGTGGTTACGAGTTGGGCTGCTAACCTCAAGGACAGCAGTTCAAAGCTACCAGCAGTTCTGTGGGAGAAAGATGAGACATTCTGCTGTCGTAAAGATTTACAACCTTGGAGACCCTATACAGGGTCACTATGGATCGAAACAGACTCCATGGCTCATAACCCACCAACCAACCATTCACTGATTTGACAAATACTTACTAAATGTCATTTTAGTCAGGACACTGGGAATACAGTTATTGCTGCTAGGTTTCATTGAGTTGGTTCTGACTTATTTGTTGTTGTTATGTGCTGTGGAGTCGGTTCCGACTCATAGCGACCCTGTACAGCGTTTTCAAGACTGTAAATCTTTATGGGAGCAGAAAGCCTCATCTTTCTCCTGCGGAACAGCTGGTAGTTTTGAACTACTGAACCTGAGGTTAGCAGCCTGATTCATAACCATTGAGTTGGTTCCAATTTATAGCAACCCTGTATAAGGCTTCCAAGGAGCAACTGGTAAGTTTGTACCGCCAACCTTGTTGTCCTATGTGTATCCTACAGTTGATGTCCCTGCCCTCTTGAAATTTATTTTCTTAAATTCTTCCTCCTCCTAAGAGATTCTTCAAGAGTCCCTGAAAATAGGACCCTGGATAAAATTTAAATAATATGAAAAGCAAGGAAGAACTCAATAACTTAAAAAATATGTATTTAAAAATAAATTTCAAGGGGGAAATCATTTGTTTGTATCAGATCCTTGGAGCCACTTAGGTGTGTACTTTGTCTTCTATCTGACATTTTTGTATTTTGGCACACTATTATGTGCTTGTTGTCACAGTGATAGACTATATAACTTTTTGAGATCCCTTCCAACATGAGGTGTAGGGGCTCACAGCCAAGAAGCAATATTGCTGTTAAGAATATTCATTGATACGAGGGCCTTTCTGGAATTAGAAATCTTTTAAATTTGGTTGCTGTTGTTAAGTGCCATTGAGTCAGCTTCAACTCATAGCAACCCTGTATAGGGTTTTTGAGGAGCGACTGGTGAATTTGAACAACTGACCTTGTGGCTCAAACTGACTTTGTTGCCCAGTGCTTATCCCACAACACCACCACCATCCATTCTGGACAACATCGCCCACAGGTTTTACTTTTTTAACAAAATTAGTTTGTCTTAATGGAAACACTATACTGATGTTCCATTAGACAATAAAACAAAAGATTTTATTGAAGGAATAATTGCATTTTATGAAATGAAGTCCACCAGGCATCTTAAGAGAAACATATCTGGGTGTCCTCCCTTTTAGGAGAAACAACAGCTTTTATTTGATAAACAAAGGGACTTGGTTTCACATCAAAGAGAAAAAAGTACAGGGAAGGGAGGAAAATTTACAACAAATTGTCAAATGATAACATTTTCATATCAAAAATTGTTGTTGTTGTTAGGTGTCAGTGAGTCAGTTCTAACTCACAGTGACACTGTGTACAACAGAACTAATAAACACTGCCCAGTTTGGTACCAGCCTCAGAATCCTTATTCTGTGTGAGCACATTGTTGTGGCCATCGTGATGAAAGTCTTCCTCATTTTCACTTGTTGTTGTTAAGTGCCTTGGAGTTGGTTCCAACTCATAGAGACCCTGTACAGGGTTTCCGAGACTGTAAATCTTTATAGGAGCAGAAAGCCTCATCTTTCTCCCGGGGAACAGCTGGTAGTTTCGAACTGCTGACCTTGAGGTTCGCAGCCCAATTCATAACCGCTACGCTACCGCTACCACTTACTCTGTACCAACAACAGTTCTTAGCTGCAGCTTGGGTAAGGCAATGTTTTCTGAAGCACACTATGTAAATATTTTGAACTGCTGACCTTGGGGTTGAATGTAGATCAGGGCAGTTGTAGTTGAATTCCTTGAAATGGAATATTGATTTATGTGGTTAAGAAGAAGAGAAGGTTGAATCATCTCATCTGAAGCCTTTGAAATGTTTACCTGGCTAAAGGGAAATGACAATGACTTTCTTGAGGAAGGTAGCTGTGAAATATAGTGTAATTCACAATTGAGTTTCAAGTTAAGTTGGAAGCCAACACCTCAATTCTTCTTAAATTCACCACCAATTTCCAACATTTAAAACAAAACTTTAAACAATAAATGCTTTTTTTTTTTTTTTTTCTTGTTTATTTTAGAAGTCTAGAGAATCTGGCATTATGGAGCCAGCTTTTCTGAATGGCAAAGTTGCCTGGATCTAAATAGTGGCTGCCTGTTTAGGGGTAAACTCTGCTCAACTCATTTATGTTAGTTGCCTGGCCCCAGTGGATATTTGAATTTGCAGCCCTTGCTTCAGTCATTTGGAGCTGGGATGTAGTGAGGTTGCTGTAAGACAATTAGCATTCCTCCTTGTGCTGGTGGACCGAAAATGGTGTTGCCATGGAAATTGAGGAGAGTCCAGTGGAAACATCTCTCACTATAGTAAGATGTTGAGTCCTGGTGTGGCGCTGCAGGATAAGCACTGAACTTTGAACCAAAAAATCTGTGGCTTGGCAGTTCAAACCCACCAGTTGCTCCTTGGAAACTTTATAAATGGGGTCGCTGTGAGTTGGAACCGACTTGACGGCACTTAACAACAACAACATAGGGTGATGTAATCCTAGTCCTAGGGAGAAGAGACTGAGGTCCTTTTCTTGGCCAGTGCTGGTCAAGTCATCTTGGATCCTTTATAGTAGAGATAGTTTTCCTGAGGAGCAGCTGGTGAGTAGAAGAAAGGAATTCTCCAATGGGAGTTCTGAGTGAGTGCTGTTACCAAAGGGAGGGGGTCCAACTAGGGATGGTTGCCAACAAACACAAGTGGTCACTTCTCTCTTCAGACTTGTCATGGGGATGTTTACTATGCACTAGAAAATGCAGTAAGTCCTGGTGTGGCGCTGTAGGATAAGTACTGGACCGCAAGGGTCAGTTTGAACCCTAAGGTCAGTGGTTCAAGCCTACCAGCCACTCCTCAAAAACCCTATACAGGGTCGCTATAAGGGGAATCAACTTGATGGTACTGAACAACAAAAGAAAATACTGTAAGGAATAGGAAGTAGTCATTCAAGTCACATGAGAAGTAAATTATGTGGGTGTATTGGCATCAGTGAATTAAGGAATGCTTTCAGTGACTAGACCACAGAAAATGGTACGTCATTTCTTCTCACAATAACCGTGCTTATCAAATCTCCAAGGAAGTCACACTAAATTTAAACAAAACACAGTGTTTATGATTGCTAACGGTTTCTACCCCAGCTCTACAAAGATGAAAAGTTCTCTGATAAACCTTGGAAAGAGTTTGCTTAAATTTCAACCTATGTTAGAGGTAACACATAGAAACCACCACTTCAGATCTGAGTTTGCATGTAACTCTCTTCATGGTCTGGGCATGAGAGTGTGTTGCTTTTAAAATTTGCCATTCCCAGTGCTAGCTCCTAGAGGCTGGAGTGGTTTCATACTCACCTGGGAGCCTAATTTCTTTGATGAACTATTCTTATAACCATAGAATAATTGATTCTTCCCAAATCTCTGGTCTCCCAGCTGGAAGCATCCCAGAATGCATTGGGAAGACCAGTATAATTTGTTTGTACGCAGTGCATTTTCAAAGCTGGAAAAATGTTCATTGGTATATCATGCTTTAAAAAATTTGTATGCATGTGTTGTTTCTTTCTATACAAGATCTTGATTTTCAACAAGCAAGCAAAAAGAGTGAGTGCCCCCTCCCTACAACCAACAAATCAGAATTGCTAGCATAGCTGGAAATAGAAATGAATGATTCAAATAAAAGAGGCAGAGCACATAGCCTCAGCTGGGTGGCAGGAAATGACGAGAGGGAAAGCCAGAGATTGCGCTTTTTTAAAAAAAGCAAAACAAACAGCTCACAGTGAAGTGTACATGAAAATCATTCCTAATAATAGCTCAGGGTAGGCCATTCGCAGGGAGGAAATCATTGGTACACTGAGAAAATTAGAGCAAGAATGCACAGTATTCTGATGTGTGACTTAAGGCAACGGGGCTTTAGAGTTTACCTCATGTGCCATGTACATTGATTAAACACAAAATATATGCTGGCCATTTTTGACCATCATTTACTGTATTGATTTGTTAGCAGGGGGACTGTAATAAAAAAAGCATTGATTTACTGTCCTTATTTGCTTATGGGCTTTTTTTTTATTATTAATTTCACTTTTTCCTTCTCTTTTTTTTTGACCATTTTTTTTAGACAAATGCTGTGCTTCGTGAAGTTCGGAAAGAGGGGGTCCCCGTGGAACAAAGAAAGGAAATATTGACCGCCATCCTAGCCACACTCACCACACGACAAAACCTGAGGAAAGAGTGGTATACCAGGTTAGTCTTGTGATAGAATTGGATTCGTTGTTCGGCTGAACAAGAGTTATATTTGGTTAGACCTTTCCTTTGGCTGGTCGCCTCCCTCCCAATTGTGGGCCTGTGAAAACTAAGCAAGTTTTAGATGCCTACAGCCAAAGTCAGCTTTCCTGCACATGGTATCAACACTAATGTACTAATCCATGACGTCTGTATGTGTGTGTGTGTGTATACATATATATGATTTATCCTTGAGTATACCTTTAGCATATAGTTTGTATCTTGGGCATAGTGTAATAAAATGTCTCATATTGAGGAAACCTTTTAATCAACAGTCTAAGCGACTAACACTGCTATCAGTTAGGACAGAGCCTGGAAAAACCCCATAGTGCTGTTGTATCACGCAGTGAGGGGCGGATTGCTGGCCGTTGTGTATTTATCAAACCACTTTTTAGAATTGTCCAAGTAGGGATTTACTTTTGCTTCAACCTCGTTTCTTTGCACGTTGCCATGATCAAAGCTGTTACTGGTGGAAAACTTCTACAAATCTTAGGTTTGTTGCTTTGTTTGTTTATTTTTTCCAGAAATAGTGCTTGCATAGTAAATATTATGTTATCCTGCTCTTATTTGAAAAGCGGTTGTTCTGTGGAAGGCTGGAATTAGTTCCCCAAAATGGCAGGATTATCCTTTAGCTCTGTAAATTATCACGTGTCTCGAAACAAGATGGAGAGGGATAAAGAAGAATATGCTATATTTTGCCTCAGAGTCTTATCTGAAGCTGAAAATTCTATGTGTCCGAGAATCAAGGACTTTTATTGATAGCCGTAATGCTTTCCCAATGAGGTCGCACAACAGAATCTGCAATAATGGATAGTGTCACTAGTAACAATTATCATAAAAATAGATTCATCTGAACAAAGCTGAAGATGTGCATTTTTCAAGAAAGAAGACAGTAAACTATATGAACTACCTATCTTGCCTGGGTATCAGAAAGCTGCTTTTTCTACTATGTGTATTGTCTCTGAGTTCAGACTCACATTTGTACACTCATTTAAAAATTCCCAATGATATCATCCCCCACCCCGTTTTTCTTGTGTTGTCAGAGTAGATGAGAGGCAATTTCAGTCTCAGTAATTAAATGATTTCCTATTTAACGTCCAATAATTAATATTTAAATTTTCTGTGTATTACAATTAAAGTATGTCTATTCATTAAAATACACATATTTTATTAAATAATGGGTATCAGTGTGGAGACATCTACAAGGGCTGTCTCTCTCTCTTTTTGACCTTTTATATTATTTCCCTCTGGTGATTCTTATTAAATAGACAAGGGAGAAAGAAAGAATTCCTCTGTAACCTCTGCCCCATCCCCCATCCCTCCAAAGACCGCACAGCACACAGACTAAATGTTGAGAATGACGTCTATTGTATAGTGCGTTTGGTTTGTTAACAATAATTTCTTAATACAACAAGTCATCCGACAACATGTCTAAAATGGCCTGTTTAAAAGGAGTCTAGTCTCAGCGTTTCTGGCCCTTCCTGCTAATAATTTAATCAGGAGCTGGAGCCAGTGTTGAAGTTGATGTAGTCTAGCATCTGAAACAAACTGCTCAAGTCCTTTGTGATAGGAGAGGAGAGAGAAAGAGCTTAGCGGCTGACACTGTGCAGGCCTACTTAAAACTAAACACCTGAAAGAAAATGTCAGGAGGGTGGTGTCTTGAGAGCTCAGAAGGAAAAGTGCCCTTAGAGTATTAAATAGCCATAAGCCCCCACCCCACCCCTTCCTCCTCCATTTGATGTTTCTCATCCTGGTGCTCTGTCTGAAAGACGTATCCATATGATCTGTATAAACACGCTGTTACCACACCTTCCTCTCCCTCATCAAAGCTTCCTCTCTGGCCGTCTGGAATCAGGCATTGCCTTGAGTCGCCATCAAGCATGAGAGTTATAAAACACCCACTGCCCTGCTTACTGAGCTGCCTGCGTTAGAGAGATTGGCCTATTGTGTACTTTGGAATTACACGAGGAAAAATGTGCTTTGACAGAAAATAATTAGCACTCGCCAAAGGCCAAGCAATAGGTTACAGTATTTTACTTTCATCAAAGCTATCAGGGGATCAGTTAGATTAGATAATAGAAATTTTTCCTCTGAAAGTTAAACACAGATGACTCTAATTACCTTATATTGCACGTTTGAGAATGCATTATGAATAGTACAACTAAAAGAAATTTAGGTCAGCCGAGACCCCGCAGCTGGCAATAACTTTAGTCTAAGTCTACTGTAATATAGGGCTTTTTACCCTCGTCAGCAGGTTCATTTGTGATAATGATGTTAGGGAGAGGGTTTTTTTTTTAGTTTTTTTTTTAAGTGGAACTTATAACTCGGTTATAAAATATTTGTGTCTCTCTCAGGCCAGGAGCGGAGCCATTGTTTGGGACTCACTGAAGCCTTCTTAAACTGAAAACATATGTGCCTTGTAATTTAGCTTTTGGAGGAAAGTGTCAATTCTTCCTGAGTCGGAGTAACTGAGTTTGTCACAGTGTCACACAATTCTGTGATTGTAGAGGCACATCTGAGGGCTGTGGGTTTCCTTCACCAAGCTCACTAATCCCATAAACAACCCTCTCCAAATAGGCTTCTTAGGGCTGTCGACTCACTTCCCCCGAGTTGAATGATCCACAGTACATCAGGAGGAGCTGTGTGAATGCAGCCTAAGTGCTAACAGAAGTGACCCAGAATTTCTGAAGATTCGGCTTTGTTTATACAGTCCACTCTGCCTGATGGACAGCTTGTTATAGCTTTTAAAGAACTGGGCAAGCCCTCTCATCTGACCCCTTCTTGACCTCTGCAGCCCAAAGGTCAGTCTGCAGCTAATAAACTCTGAGGTTCCTAGGGTCTACTGTAGGCAAAGACAGGGAAAGAGCAGCTGCAAGGGCTGGACGTTCCAGGATAGGCTGTTTAGGGTCACTCTCTGATAATGAAAATGATTACCAAATTATATGGAAGTTTAACCGTAATAGTGAGTGAGAGGAGGGTGGAGCTCCGCGTATTAGGTTTGATAAATGAACTGTGAAGAGACCCATCTGGCTCTCAGCATCTTTTCTCCCCCTCTTTCCCTACCAAGGGGAAACATTTTAAAATAACAGCAGTACATACAGACTCAATGACCCATGCAAGGAGCTGGGATGGATTAAGATTTAATAGTGACAGTGGAAGAAATTATCATTTGAAAAGTGCACCAAAGAAAAGGTACAGTTCAATATCTATGCCTGGCTTGTGTTTCTAAATAAAATATAGTAAAAATCAGTGTCTGTTTATTTTATACAAATCTCCAGCACCTTTCTTGCTGACAACTTTGAGGTTAAAGTTTATTATAGAATAATTAGTTGCAGCCAACTTAAGGAAAGGAATGGGCTTCCTTTGGCTTCAAACATGTCAGCGTGAGAATCAAACTTTTTTCCCCCCTGCCTATTTTCTCAGTGTGAGCAACATAGGTAAATTGAGTGTTAGAGAAAATGCTTTACTCAAACATTGGTGCCCATTTCAACATCTGACCATTGGCCATTATGTATTTTTTGTTAAACTCAGTATGTGTGTGATGCTTGACCATTGTTTTATTTCTGCTAAAACTTGGTAATTGTTATGTAAAATAATAAAAAGGCACACAATAGTAACTGTGTATGTATCCCCTCCTTCCTTTCTTTTTCAAAGAAACATGATAATATTCTGATCAATGCCAGTAGTGGGTAGGTCACAGCCCATGTCACTTACTGCTCATTGGTCAAGGAAAGCTATTTAGGGCTATTGTCCCCCTAGTTTTCTGTGACTATGAAATATCTTGGTTTCAGAGCAGGGACAGGAGAGACCATGAAGTTCTGAGGTGCTTTGTAGAGGCGGTTGGCGCTCCTAATCCTATGGCTGAAACGATGTGATTTTACTCAGTAAACATCTTTTTGCATGTTTTGTGTACCTACTGTGTACAAAATGCTGCATAGGAGGCTATGTATGATATAGTGCACTAGACAGCATGTTTCAGGGCTTATCTGACCGTGAGGATTCAGAAAGTGCTAGAAAGAGGCTGTGGAAGCACGGAATAGAGAATGCATAACCATGATTACCAAAAAGTTAGCAAGTTGTTCTAATTCTTTAAGAATTAACTGTGTTTTTTTAATTTTACAGCTGTGCTTTAAAATTTCTCCCAAGTAAGGTACAAATATGCAAAAAAAGAAAACAAATGCAAAGTCATTAGACTTTTGAAAAATTTGAGATGCAACTTGCATGACATAAAATTTCACATAACATGATTTCACTTTCGGTTTTCCTTCTATCACCACCACTTCTGTAACGAGTAGCCTACTTTGTGTCTCTGGATTTGTCTCTCTGAACATATATAAACCAAGTCATATACAATGTGGCTTCTTGTGGCAGGCTTCTTCCACTTAACCATAAGGATTTCAAGGTTCATCCATATGTAGCATGTATCAGTACTGCATTCCTTTTTATAACCGAATAATATTATTTTGTGTACCACATGTGGTACGATTGATTACATTCAGATAGTCTTTCTTACGATGGTCTTGTTAACTCACACCAAATAACCGGGTGGGGCTATGCAGATAAGGTGCTTTATGGTCCACCAATGGGATTGGATAGCTTGTTAATCAATTCAAATAAGGTGAAGACACCCTTGTGGGAGTATGTGGAAGCCTAACAAAGAACATGAACAGTTTTGTCATCCCACTGAGCTTAAAATGAGTCACTCAGAGGCAGAAAAAGGGGACCTCACTACCACCAAGCAAAAAAGTCAAGAGTGGAGCATCTCAGGGTTCCTATGCTGAGAACCTCTTAGGTCCAAGAGCCCAAGAGCTGTACCATAGGAGTCAGCATGAGATGACAGAAGTGGCAGCTGAGAAAGAGTGGCAGCAGCACCAAGAGCCGGTCAGGTTCTGCTGAGTGTGCTGACCCCTGGAGGGTGAGGGCTATTTACCTTCGGGCAACAGGCTTATTGGCAGAGGGGC